TTTTTTTTTTTTTTTAAAGCTTCATTTGCCTAAACCTCTCTTTTGGCTACAGTTTTATGCATTTCAAGTTACTGTTACCTAAGCACCTACTACTTACACTGACACAGCAGCCTTTTGCCTTTGAGGATAGATATATGTTTTTAACTTTAAATTTTTTAAATATTTATTTATTTTTGAGAGAGAGAGAGAGTGTGTGTGAGCAGGGGAGAGGCAGAGAGAGAGAGAGACACACACAATCTGAAGCAGGCTCCAGGCTCTGAGCTGTCAGCACAGAGTCCCACACGGGGCTGGAACTCAGGAACCGGGAGATCATGACCTGAGCAGAAGTCGGATACCCAAGCAACTGAGCCACCCAGGCGACCCAAGATTTTGTTTTTAACACCAAGGATTGATATATTTGCACATTCATGAGATCTGTTCTCTTCTCTCAATCAGTACGGACTATTCCCATAATATTTATTCTTGCTGCCTAAACTATTCCTACAAATTCTGTTAAACCACCCACAAGTGAGTCATCACTTCAGTGTGGTTAGTCCATAGCCTCCCACTGGCATCAGCTGCTGCTCCTATTATTTCCTTACAGTAACTATGATTCCTCTTTGGCCCATCGATTGTCAGTACTGTGACCTGACCTTTCACTCTACAAGGTCTTCAATCTCTTTTATCTCTTTAATCAATTCATAGTACCTGGTGAAAAAGTCACTGCTGTTTTCTTAGCCCAGGGATGAGGCTGATATTTAATTTAATGGGGAGTTCAAGGTTAAGATCTCAACCCAAAGATAAAGGGCAAGCAGGTCAATACCAGGGTCCTGGCTCAACTCTCCAGGGGCAGTCACAGTGACAAGCAAATTTTAGAGAGATGCTAAGAAGCTGCTAGAGTTGGTATAAGCTGGTGGACTGGTTTCCTAGGGCTGCTGTAACAAAATGCCACAAACTTGGGGTCTCCCCAAGACTCTCTTCTACGTCTCCCCTTACTCTATGAGTTGGCCACAGTGGCTTGCTTTCTTACGTACACCCACCGATTCCTGCTTTGGGTCCTTTGTATTTGCTCTTCCTTCTGTGCATGCTCTTCTATACTTACATACGTACTTCTCTACGTACATTCTTCTACACACACAAACATACTGTTTCCCCAAATTGTCCCAAACTCAATACTCTCACATAGTTCCGGACTGCTCAGATGACTCCATAACAAGCATATGCTAAAGGCCCAAATGCCCCCTTCCACTTACTGCTTTCACTGCCTAAAATTTTATCTTTAATTTCTATGCTTACTCATGTATTGTTTCCTTCATTACCAAAAGTTTTTAAAGCCAAGGATTATATATAGTCTATTTCTGTGTTTCCTCAGTCTGCTGAAGTATGAAGATACTCAACAAGTATTTGTTGAGTAAAATAGTAAATAAAAAGTGGATTTGAACATGGAGAATTTGTCTGTACATGTGAGAATATTACAATCTTTTCCTGGGAGGGGCAGATTTACTCTAAACAGGAAACTTTCCCTTTAGCTCTGTATCGGCAAGCAGGCTTTTTTTTTCCCCTCCAGTTGTGTTGAGGTATAATTGACATAAAATAATAGGTTAATCAGCGTACAGCATGCTGATTTAATATATGTATACACTGTTAAAGGATTTCCCCTATCAAGTTAGTTAATACACCCATCTCTTCACATACTTACCTTTTGTGTATGTGAAAATATTTACATTCTACTCTCCTAGCAAATTTCAATTATACAGCAGTGTTATCAACTCTAGTTGCCATGTTATCTAGATCCTCAGACCTTGTTCATCTTGTAACAAAGGAATTGTTTTTTTAAACAACTCTATTGAGGGGCTCCTTGGTGGCTCTCAGTTGGTTAAGCATCTGACTCTTGATTTCAGATCAGGTCATGATCTCACTGTTGGTGAGACAGAGCCCTGTGGCCTCTGCACTGACAGTGTGGAACCCGCTTGGGAATCACTCTCTCTCCCTCTCTTTGCCCCTCTCTCACTTGCACTTTTGCACTCTTTCTCTCTCTTTCAAAATAAATAAATAAACATTTAAAACAATGCAATAACTCAATTGAGATATAATTGAGGTACTATAAAATTCATTTGTTTAAGGAACACAGCTCAGTGATTTTTAGTATATTTACAGAGGTGTGTGACCATCACCATATCTCAGAACATTTTATCACCTAAAAAAAATAAACCTCATAACCATTAGCACTCCTTCCCATCCAGCAGCCCTAGGTAATCAGTAGTCAACTTTCTGTCTCTATAGCTTTATATTTTCTGGATGTTTTATATAAATGGAATCATATGTGGTCTTTGTGATGGTCTTTTTTCACTTAGAAGAATGTTTTTGAGATTCATCCCCATGGTAGCATATTTCCATACTTCATTCCTTTTTATTCCCAAATAGTACTCTATTATATGGATATACCTCATTTGTTTTTTTTTATTCATTCACCAGTTGGTAGACATTGGGAGTGTTTCCAACTTATGAGCCACTTATGAACACTCATATACATATTTTGGGGTGGATCTATGTCATATCTCTTGGGTATATAATTAGGAGTGGAAAGTTGGATCATGTGGTAAATCTATGTTTAACATTTTGAAGAACTGCCAGTCTGTTTTTCAAAGTATTCACACCATTTTACAACCCTTCCATCAATCAGTGAAGGTTCCAGTTTCTCCACATCCTAACCAACCCTTGTTATTGTTCATCTCTTTTATTATAGCCATTTTAGTGGGTGAAACAATGTCTCATTGTGGTTTTGATTTACATTTCTTTAATGGGTAATGATGAAAATCTTTGCATGTGCTTTTTTTGAATGTTTATTTATTTTTGAGAGAGAGAGAGAGAGAGAGAGAGCAAGGGAGGGGCAGAGAGAGAGGAAGAGGGTCCAAAGCAGGCTCTGTGCTGTCATCCCAGAACCCTATGTGGTGGGACTTGAACTCATGAACCTGAGATTGTGACCTGAGCTGAAATCTGACACTTAAGCACTTAATAGACCGAGCCATCCTGGGTCCCCTTTTCATGTGTTTATTGATATTTGCATATCTTCTTTGGAAAAAGATGTTTATTCAATTTTCTTACCTATTTTCTGATTCAGTTATTTCTCTTTTTTAGTATTGACTTACATATGCTTTTTCCCAGTCAGTAGATTGTCTTTTCACTTTCTTAATTGTGTCATTTGAAGCCCCAAAACCTTTAATTTTGAGGGAGCCAAATTTATCACTTTTTTTTCTTTTATTTCTTGTGATTTTGGTATTGTATTTAAAAAAAAAATGTTGCTTAACCCAAGGCTATAAAGATTTACCTCATGCCTTCTTCTAAGAATTTTGTAGTTTTAGAATTTGCATATAGGTCTATGATCCATTTTGAATAGTATGAGATGGGGTAGATGTTCATTCTTTTGCATGTGAACACAAAGTTCTCCCTGTACATCTATTGAAAAGACTGATATTTCGCTATAGAATAGCTTTAGTCCTTTGCTGAAAATCAGTTGACCATAAATGATCATTTCTGGACTTCAGCTCTATTCCAGTGATCTGCATATCTATATGAGATGACCATGTCTTGTAGTTATTGTAGATTTGTAGCAAGCCTTGAAATGGGGAAATGTGAGTCCTCCAAATTTGTTCTTTTTTCCCCTGAAGGCTGTATTGGTTGGTTATTCTAGGTCCCTTGCATTTCCATACTAATTTTAGAATCAGCTTGTAAATTTCTGCATAAAGGCAGTTGATATTTTGAGAGAGATTGAAATGAATTTGTAGAGCAACTTGGGAAGTATTTTGATTTAGCCATATTTAGTGTTTTAATTAATGACTACAGAATGACTTTCCATTTGTTCCAATTTTCTTTAATTTTGTTCAGCTATGTTTTGTATTTCTTTAGTGTGGAAGCCTTGCACTTCTTTCATTAAATTTACTTATTAGTATTTTATTTTATGTGGTTCTATTATAAATGGAATTGGTTTTTTTTAATTTGATTTTTTATTGTTTATTGCTAGTGTTGAGAAACACAACTGATTTTTGTATAGTGATAGTATATCTTATAACCTTGCTGAACTCAGCAGTTCAACTAGATTTTTAGTGAATTCTCTAGGATTTCCCACATGCAAGGTAATATCTCCTGCTTATAGAGATACTTTTAGTACTTCCTTTTCAATCTGAATGCCTTTTTCTTAATTGTTGGCCTAATTATCGTGGCTAGAACCTCTCACTACAATGCTTAATAGATGTGGCAAGAGAAGAAATTCTTGCCTTGTTCCAGAATTTAGTAGGAAAGCACTCAGCTTTTCACCATTAAGTATGGTATTAGCTGTAAGTTTTTCATAGAAGCCTTTTATCAGGTTGAGGAAATTCCCTTCTGTTTCTAGTTTGTTGTGTTTGTTATGAAAGACTGTTGGATCTTTCACAAAGTTTTACTTCTCTTGAGATGATCATTTAGTTTTGGTTTTTGTTCTATTAATATAGTGTATTACATTGACTTTAAGGCTAAGCCAACTTGCTTTCATTCCATAATTGTAGTTGGTTACGGTGTATAGCTCTTTTCATATGTTGCTAGATTCAGTTTGCTAGTATTTTTCTGGTTTTCTTGCATTTATATTCATAAGAGATATTGGCTGTATACATTTTTTTCCTGGGATGTCTTTATCTGGTTTTTCTATCAGGGTAATACTCACCTCATTGAATGAATTAGGAAGTATTCCCTTCTGTCTATTTCCTGGAAGAGTTTATGTAGGATTGTTATTCATTTGTCTTTAAATGTTTAACAGAATTCACCAGTGAAGCTTTCTGGTCTTTAGTTTTCCCTTGTGTGAAGTTTTAAAATGACTAATTCAACCTCTACTTTTTATAGGCCTATTCAGATTTCTATTTCTTCTTGAATCAGTTTCAGTAATATGTCATTCTATATATTTGTACATTTCATCACTTGTTGGTATACAGTTATTCCTAGTAATTTTTATAATCCTTTTAATTTCTCCAAGTAGCAATATCCTCTCTTTAATACCTGCTTTTAATAACTTTTTTGTTTGATCCATCTCAACCAGGATATTTTAATTGCAAATTAAAGACAACCCAAATAAAAAGTTCAACTGCCATAAAATAGTCAACCTTGTGCCCATTTTTATATTGGATTATTTGCCTTTTTATCATTGAATTGCAATGATTCTTTACATTTTCTCTAGGGTTTTTTTTTTTTTTGAAGAAAAATTGAGACTAGAATGCATTTTTTTTTACTTTGTAACTAAAAAATGAATCAATCAAAATAAATTTTGAATCACTTACAAGAAATAAAATTTAAGCCTTAAAAGTAAAATAATTAAGTAACTAATAATAAAATAAAATGATAGTCAAAATATAAATGTACTTAAAGAAGCTCCAGTGCTTATATCAGAATTTGTATAACTTGTTCATTTTTCTCTCTAGAACCACACATACACATGTGGTATACATGTGTATATTTTTATTTATTATCAATTAATTTATTATTAATTATATCATGAGATTACTTGGATTATTAATAGTGATAACAAGAAAATGTCTGTTATTCTTACCCTATTTCATTATTTAACTCTTTATATTTTAATATAATCTTAATTTTTTTTATGTTTATTTCTGCAAAAGACAGAGCGCAAGTGGGGGAGGGGTAGAGAGAGAGGGAGACACAGAATCCGAAGTAGACTCCAGGCTCTAAGCTATCAGCACAGAGCCCATATGTTTTAATATAATCTTAAAAATCTAAATTTATTTTTATATATTTCAAGAATTTCTAGGCATTCTGTATGTAGTTGATAAATTGATGAAAGGAACATAGATAGCTTGCATGTATGTTTCTGATCACTAAACACTAAAGAGTGGAATCTAACTTCCCCAGAGTTTCTGAAACTTTGTTAGGGAGTTTAAGCTCTGAAATCTCATTCATCCTTTCATCTAGCGACTGTCCCATGCATCACAGTAGCACGTGGCTCAAGCCACATTTCTAGAAATTTTGCACTGAAACTTATCTAAGAATACACTACTAATTTTCTTGGATATGCTCTGTGATTCTCTTTCACAACTGGATCAGAGAATGTCACTTAAAAAAAGGTCAGCGTGTTAACTCACTGACCTTAATAAAACCAAGAATTTGGTTATTCAGATAAACAGTTATTTTAGGGAAAGATAACATGGTAATAGCACTAAGAACTATAGTCCAAGGGTAAGCAGAGATAACAACAAAATGGTTAACTAAGACATAATTAATTCCTCTATTAGTTACTTACCATAATAGAGACATGTCGTAAATATATAGAGCAAATATATCTCAGGTTATTTTAGTGTGTTTTTAAATTATGCTCAAATTTATTGATGGAAAATAACATGTTTTGCTCTTCTTTGCATTAATAGTTTCCAAATTATTAATGCATAATTTATATAAATTACATTTAAGGAAGTATTTATCTTCAACTGAATTTTTCCGTTAGCACTTACTTTAAAGTAAATGTAAAGGCCTCTGGACCAAATAGCACCTGGCTCTAAATAAGTACTAAACAGACCCATCAACGAGTAAAGAAGGTTTTTATGTAATAGACACACACTTCTCCTGTATTATCTCAGAAACAATTGCTAGAATCAAGTGAAATAATAGATGTTTGAGTACTTTCAAAGTAGGAAGTGCTAATCAAATGTGAAATAATAAGATTACAAATTATTTCCTGGTAAGTATACTCTCATGTTGCTTCCAGATGCTTACAGAACAAGAAGAAAACTATATTTTCAGAAACCAATTTGCATATATGATTTAGAATCCCTTCTCACTGTCATGGAAAATTTTAGGACAGAATATAAAAAAAAAAATGTGACATTTGATACCGTACAAAGACCTATTTTTACCAATTGCTGCATTTATTTTACAACCAACTAGGCAAATTTACATGTATAGAAGTGCGATTCCATCTTGAACGACAAATGGGATACTATCTGATCCAGATGTACATTCCCAGTCTCCTGATCGTGATTCTATCCTGGGTTTCATTCTGGATCAATATGGATGCTGCTCCAGCCAGGGTAGCCTTGGGAATAACTACTGTTCTGACTATGACCACACAGAGTTCAGGATCTCGAGCGTCCTTACCAAAGGTAAGTGTGCTAAATGGACATACACATACATTTGCACAAATATTTGTAGATAGAAAATATTTTTACATTAGAAAATTCACATAGATACAATTGCCAGCTTTCGTCATTTCTTTTTCAACAGGATGTAGTATTGATTACTAATTTTTAAGGTAATATATAACCAAGGAAAAAAACTTGTAAATCACAGAAATAGATGAGGAAGATTTCTGTAAACCAATGATATCTTCCTTTGCAGTTGTGTTATAATCCCCAGTTATTTAAATATCAGTAACACTCTTATACATTGTGGAATTTTTTAATCTATAGATTTTTAAACATTTAGAGATCTATAAAACATGTGTGTAGGTTAAATCTACACAGTAACTTTACATGGTGGCCCAATACTCCATTGCATGGATGTGCTGCTATAGTAATATGCTTACTATTAGGACTGACACAATAATGAACTTTAATATGATGAACATTATATTCATGAATATGTATGTGTGTGTGATATGTATGTGTATGTATATGTATATGTGTGTGTGTGTGTGTGTGTGTATGGCTTTACATATACTTTGCACTTTTCCTTAGTATAAATTCTTAGAACTGGATTCACTGTACTAATAGCTGTACGTATTGATACGTATTGCCAAATGTATCTCAAGAAAAATCCACGGCAGTTACTCCTACAACTATTGTATGAGGGCACCCATAGTGCTATATGTAGCATTTATTATTTTTGTGGGTTTTTTTTTTTCTCCTCTGGCTTTTAAGTTGCCATAGGTCAATAAAAAGGAAAGCTTATCTAATATGATTTTAGTCCATGCTGAGCTGCCAGAATTAAAATAAACTGTTCTCTCTATGAAGTTTATAAAAGAACCCAATATTTCCTTTTACAACATATGCTGAAATAAAACATAGGAAGCTTTTTTAATCCATTTAGCAAAATAGCAATAGAAAATTATTTTCCTCTCCTAAATGACTTCTAAGAAAAATTTCTACTATCTAAATTAAGTAATCCTGTCTAGCTTCCAACAAGCTTCACTATTATTTTCATTACGATCATAGAGATGTAATAGAATATAGTAGCTTTTCATGTGCATTTGATGCTATCTATCTGCAATGCCAAGCAAATTATAAATCTACGGTCACGGCTTCCTTAACTCTTACTGAATCACATTGTATGATTCAATTTATTAGATTAAAATGCCTAAATAAATAAAAGCTGATGGCAGGACATTTTATCACTAAAATGTTACTTCATATAGGAAGAACTTGACATTTAACAATGCTCACACTGCCTAGATAAAATTTAATGGTTGTCTTTCAAAATAAAGTCTACTTTTATTGACAGTTAATTGAATTTTCAAAATGATTCACATCAACTAGTGCTTTATAAAATATTGTTCAAGTGAAAATTATAAGTCTGCTTATAAGATTAAGTTAATAAGTCTCAATGATTATTTATATAGGTATAAATGTCTCAAGGGCTCTGATTAAAATAGTTGAAGTCCTATAGTCAATTTGTAAAGGAAATTGCCAGTTTACTCATTGATTTTCTTCATGAGCTAAACAAAAATGAAAGCACATTCTTTCTGTAAGTTGTCAACTAGAAAGAAGAGAACAAAATGCTCCATTTCAGAAAGCAACAGCTTCTATGAGACACAGTATAAAGACATTTGAATACAGACATTGAGGCAGAATTGGGAGAGCATGAAGGTCCGAGTGGAAGAAACAGAAATAAAGAAAGCAAC